TGTTGGATAATGGGTTCAATCAAAATACACGGGTATATAAAATGAATAAAAATATGTTTACGATTAAAATATCTACTGTATTTTCAAAAAAGTTTTATTCTAATTTCGTTAGTTTCTTTGAATTATAATAATCTCAGATGGTTAAAAATTCTTCACCAATACAGTTGATAAATATTGATCTAAAATTCTAAATCATCCTTCATTAAAATTAAAGTGTTAAATTTCTATTTGTTGAAAATTTATACAAAAATATTTATAACAATTCAGAATCAAAGTTTAAAAAAATAATAATTTAATAAATAAAAATTTAAAATAATTCATAATCAAAATCAGTTTATTCATTTAATTTAAAACCAGATTTCAATTGCTTAAAAAAATATCTTATGCTATCTTAAACATTCATAATTCAAAATATTTTCTTTGATAATATAGAAAATGACAATTTTTCCTTTGATTCTTTCCACTGTAATGTGAAATTAAAGAATCAAAAAATAGGTCTAAGATGATCTTTATTCCATGTCTATCAGGTGTTGACAGGCCCACAATGGGGATGGCTTGATAGTAAAAGATGTAGCCCAACATAACTGAGACAAAAATATTCCAGGATTGTTTGCCAAGTTTGATTTCAGGTCCTCCAGAACAATAAACTAACAGTACTTGCTTAGACCATCCAATTTGTCATATTGACTTTATATAAGTAATGTCAAAAGAAAACCTAATTACGTTCAAATTTCTCATTATTATTAATGAAGTAAAAATAATTCAAAATTATTAATAAATAAAGAATGAAAATGTATTCATCTATTAAGTTTATATTGTATAGTAATTTTATTTCTAATCTTTTTCTCATAACAAAAATATAGAAACTGCATGTAAGATAACTTAAGATATTGCATTCTTATAAATTAATAAGTAATGTAAACTGTATTTTGCTTTATTTTGAACAATTTATAATTGCTTAAAATTTCCTTAAATAATGTCAAACCATAAATTAAAAAATAAATAAATAAAATAACTAACTATTTAAATTAAAATTAATCAATTTGGAAATTTTTATTACATTATTTATGAAATTAAATATTAATTACAATCATTAAAATATGTATTATAATGAATATGTAATTGAAAATCTTAATTCTAAAATATTGCTCCTTTCATTAAATTTATAATCTTTGTATTGCTTTGATGTTTTTGTTTTGAAATTAAACTTCTGAAAAGCTGTTAAATTAAAAAATTTTATCAGAAAAATTAATATAACATAACTTGTTATTATTTATGCTAATATCAAAAAATTTTAAACTTTATAACTTTCAACTATTTATGATCAGTCTTAATTTAACTATCATCATCAGCCTTCATTTTATCTATGAGAAATCAAGGGTGGTGATGAAATTTGTAAGGTGTTTATGTAAATCATACAAACGGCACTCCAAGAAATTAACCTCAAAAACACATTCTTTGAATTCACACATAGATTCCTCATTGTAGCATTTAAGTGCATTATTACTTATTGATAAACAATTATAATTTTACATTAAAAATTTTAAATGTAAGTAATTGTTTTATTAACTTATTACTTTTACTTAAATTACTTTACTTGCAATCATAATTATACTTGTAAAAGATGTATTGGTTTCATCACAGAAATAGTTGATTTAAATTATTTAAAAGTATGAGAGTACAGACTGGGGATGACAAACTTTTTGAGTCTGTGTGCCACATAAGTAAGCATACTTAGTCTTAAAGATGTTTATGCATACCAAAGTTTCAGACTTCAAATAGGCCACGTTTCTTTATGCAGCAAGAGTGTAGCGAAATGACGTCATGAGCAGTGTTGGCCAATTAGAAACCAGTTTCAGTGTGTTCGCTGTAAAGCGCTTCTCGAGCGCTGCATAAAGAAACACGAGGATAATGATATTTAAAGAAATTAAACAAATATGCTTTAATTAAAATAAATTTAAAAAAAAAAAGTCAATAAACCAAAAGGATTGAAAAAGACAGATGATAAATCAAAATAAAAAGTGGCAGATAAAGAGATCATCTGGCATGTAATGATACATTATGTGTTAGATGATCCCTTAGTGTGCCACTTTAGGCATGTGCCATAGGTTCACCACCCACGTTATACACCAAATTACAAAGATCTAAGTTGTCAGAGTTTAAGCTTATTTCTGAGTTACTAAATTCTTAATTTTTGTTCAGTAATTTGTCTATTTTAACTATTGCCAGACAATCAAAACCAAGGCAGAAATAGATCCAATCACTGATCTTATTTCTGTTTGAAACTAACAAATTTTTTACAAGTATAATTGTGATTGCAAATAAAGAATTTTAAGTAAATTTAAANATTTCATTGTCAAGAGTATTTGACAACAGCCATCAAGGGCATTCTTAATTGTTAATTCTTTGAGAATCACCGTGAAAAACTTAGTTCTGTGAAAAAAATTAAAATTATGTTGTTGATTTATTTAATGATTGTTATGAAAAATATTTTTTAAAGGTAAATTTCTGATTACCATGACTACTTTAGCTATTTCCAATCTAAAAGTACAAAATTTATAACCAAATTACTTGTGATGATGGGATTTCACTGTGATGTCTTTATGAAATTTTTGATTAACTTTAAATGTTTATAAAAATTTTAAATAATATATACACAATAATCAAGGTGTATATCATACATTTTGTATTTCAAATATTACAAAACAAAGGATTGAATTTACTATAGTCATATTTACTTTAGGTTTAATTAACTAAATTAATTAAGTAATTAAATCAGTTACTGGTAATTCAGATTTTAAAAGTTGACCATTCTTAATTAAATTAAATATGAGAAGTTGTAACATTTCAAAATTATTTGTAAATAATTTTTTCTTGTTGAAATTTTAAAACATATATCATTTTTGAAATTCAATAAATCTAACAGTTCTGTTGTAAATTTATTGTTTAATAAACTTATAAACTTTTTTTTCATTTAGAAATGAAAATGCATTTGTTTGTTAAAATACATACATATATATATTTTCATAATTGAAAAAAAATTATTATTTTAAACTGTTAAAAGTAATAATATAATATATTTAAATAATTGCAGAAGGGTCAACCAGTGGCTGTATTTAAGCATCACACTGCTCCAATTACATCTGTGGAATGGCATCCAACTGACAGTTCAGTATTTGCTGCATCTGGTTTTGACAATCAGTTAACATTATGGGATTTGGCTGTGGAAAGAGGAGATGATGAATCAGTAAATGATGTACAGCTCAAGAATCTTCCTCCTCAACTTTTATTTATTCATCAAGGCCAAAAAGATGTAAAAGAATTGCATTGGCATTCACAAATGCCTGGAATTGTGATCAGTACAGCTCAAAATGGTTTTAATATTTTCAGGACAATTAGTGTATAAATGCAGCATATTGTTTAATAAATTTTTATTTTATGATATATCTGATTGCAGTTATTACTTTCTTAAAGTAAATATTTATATTTTAAATGAAAATTTTTGAAGTTTTGCTAACATAAGCTATAATAAACAAGAAAAAAATTTAAAACATTTTGATGAGTGTTGGATGAGTAAGTCAAATAGGACTAATACAAATGAGCAGTTATTTATCATGACATGGTCACAATGCCAGACTGTAATTTTTAATCATGTTTTTAATTTCATTTAAAATATATGCTCTCTGCCTCAAATTAATAGTGTCTTGCCCTGTACAGTACATCATACTTTTCCTTTAGCAATAGAATCATGCCAGTAATCTAACTAACTCCTTTTGGGGAAAAATTTTTTTAATTGAAATAAAGTAACTTCCAGTTTGCATTGAAATTTTGTATATAGTTAATTGGGACCTCCTGCCCCTAATGTTTCCATATTTGATCTCAGCTTTCATCTATCAAACTCTGTTTTTGAGATTAGGGAAAGACAGTGGTAATTTATAGATCTAAAATTTTTTCAGATTGCAGCCCAATATATATATTATATATTGCAGCCCAATATATATATATATTGGGCTGCAATCTGAAAAAATTTTAGATCTATAAATTACCACTGTCTTTCCCTAATCTCAAAAACAGAGTTTGATAGATGAAAGCTGAGATCAAATATGGAAACATTAGGGGCAGGAGGTCCCAATTAACTATATACAAAATTTCAATGCAAACTGGAAGTTACTTTATTTCAATTAAAAAAATTTTTCCCCAAAAGGAGTTAGTTAGATTACTGGCATGATTCTATTGCTAAAGGAAAAGTATGATGTACTGTACAGGGCAAGACACTATTAATTTGAGGCAGAGAGCATATATTTTAAATGAAATTAAAAACATGATTAAAAATTACAGTCTGGCATTGTGACCATGTCATGATAAATAACTGCTCATTTGTATTAGTCCTATTTGACTTACTCATCCAACACTCATCAAAATGTTTTAAATTTTTTTCTTGTTTATTATAGCTTATGTTAGCAAAACTTCAAAAATTTTCATTTAAAATATAAATATTTACTTTAAGAAAGTAATAACTGCAATCAGATATATCATAAAATAAAAATTTATTAAACAATATGCTGCATTTATACACTAATTGTCCTGAAAATATTAAAACCATTTTGAGCTGTACTGATCACAATTCCAGGCATTTGTGAATGCCAATGCAATTCTTTTACATCTTTTTGGCCTTGATGAATAAATAAAAGTTGAGGAGGAAGATTCTTGAGCTGTACATCATTTACTGATTCATCATCTCCTCTTTCCACAGCCAAATCCCATAATGTTAACTGATTGTCAAAACCAGATGCAGCAAATACTGAACTGTCAGTTGGATGCCATTCCACAGATGTAATTGGAGCAGTGTGATGCTTAAATACAGCCACTGGTTGACCCTTCTGCAATTATTTAAATATATTATATTATTACTACAGTTACTGTGATTGTTTTGCAAATGGAGAATTCTGCAATAATTGCAACTGTAATAATTGTTCCAATAATTTGGAACACGAAGAAGAAAGACAGNTGCATTTTCTGTTGTCAATATACATGCTTCTGATGGATTTGAACGCATATCCCATATCCTAATGCTACGATCAACAGAACAGGATGCCAATACCTAAAATATTTTTATATTTAACCATCATATTTTATATAATATTTTTCTTATTTTTCTACAGAAAAATAATATTTTTCATTGGTATACTAAAATTTAAAAAGCAATCTAAAACTCTAATTTTTCAAAATATTCTATAGAAAATAGATATATTAAAGCCACTAAATAAACAATATTTTGTGAACCAATTAAATAAACAATAATTTGAGGCAATTAATCCTACGTCTAGTCAAATTATTCTTTATTTAATTATTGCTTTTATTATTGGTTATTTAATTATTAAAATTAGCTTAAAATAGCCTAATAATCCATTAGAATTGCTTGTAGATCCAGTAGTAGGTTTTAATTAAAAAAAAAAAAAACCCAGGTTAGTGGATGCTTATACATATAAATATCATTATTTATATACTGTTGTCATTTCAAAATTTAATAAAGTTGTCATCTCTGAATAATTATTCATGCTTTGGTAAAAGTTACTGGTAATAATAATTTATATATACTATATATCCTATGAACTTGAAATAGTTATAATTCTTCATTTTAATTATATGTAAATTATGAATACAGTGGATTTGGCTTAATTGGGGCAGCTGCTTTATTGGGACAAAACTCAAAGAACAGAAACAAAACTAATAAATTAATACATAATTTAATCACTTAATTGGGACAGTAGCAGAAAAGAAATTTAGCAATTTTTGATATATTTTAGTAATCTTCCTAAAATATATAGGCACTATGCACACTAATGTCACAAAAGAATGTGCTCCAGTCTGGCCTAATGGTTGGCAGAGACAAGGCAATTTTGTCTTTTGCTCGGACAGTTCAGTTTTTCTGGAGGGGGTCAGCATAGTGGGGCACAGGGATTTCATCTGAGGAAGACCTGAATGCTAGTTACTAACCCTGCTCTGGATTGGACTGGACTATCCCCCTTAGAAGCAAAGGGACAAAGATAGCCAGACAATTTTTCAAGGTCTCTCGACTGAGTTGGAAGACAGAGTTCCCTTGAAAGGTATTGTGTGCATAATTACGTCTAGATTCAGACAGCAGCATCTGATTGTTGAGACCAGCATCGAGCTGGCAGATTCTACAGACACACCCACTAAAGTGGCCCATCTCCAAGTGAAGGAAACTGTGCTCAAAAGAAGACAATAAAATGACTTTTGGATGAACCCTTTTCTTTCTTCCTTTTTAGTTAGAACATGTTCTAACTAAAAAGAAAGGAAAAATTGTTCAATCAGAAACGGATCAAATAGTCAACCCTTGTGTATGTCACTACTATTATTTGGCAACACTAGCATTATGCGAATCAGTTATATATCATCATGAGTCTGCCAAATTTATATTACAAATGTTTTCTGTATTTTGGTTTAATAAAGCTTTAAAATAGGTACCTAATTATTATTTTTTACCTACATATTACATATTTTATTATAGAATTTATTATCAGTTCATTTAATAGGGGCAGCCGCTTAACTGGGCCAAAATAGTGTGTCCCAATTAAGCGGAATCCACTGTATTTAACAAATTATTTTTAATGAAAATATGAATTAAAATATTTAAAAGTTTAAAATGAATGTTGTAAACTGAAAATTTAAGTATTTAGTTATTTCATTTTTAATCATTTCAATGACTTGAGTTACTAAGATAATCAATTACTAAAACAATCAACAATCGAAATAATTCAATACTGGTATTAAATACAAATAAATGCATAGAATAAATTTTCATATCCAAGCAAAATTTCCTACATAAAAATTTCTTTGCTCACCCTTCATGAATGCATTAATGTGAGACCAATATTTATGAAATCATTATAAAAACTGAGCATAGCAAACAAAGCATTATTAAGTAGCTTTTATTATTTGATGCTATTTTCTTGATTCTCATACTTATCTCAACAAGCAATTTCATAATTACAATATTTTTAATGCTATAGCTCCTCAATTCTAATGTGCACTAAGATTTTGAATTTTAACTTTAAGATATTTTTTGTGGAGAGAAAAACTTGTAAATAATTTTATTAAGTTTTGTTAGGCAACAACAAGTTAGAAAAAAAACCAAAAATGTCATGAAATAAGTAACATCGAACAGCCCTATTTCCATCTTCTGCATAACAAAAACTTGTCATTTTAATACTGTATCATAACATTGCCTTAAAGACATGTTTAAAAAGATTTTTAATTAAACACTCATTACCAATAAAGTTCATTTAACTAATGTGACTTGAGCAATATATTTTAAAAATGTTGTTGGTGCACAAAGAATCACATAGTCTGCTTATAATGATTTCTCATTCTTGTTAACTGTAAATGTAATTATATGTTGTCAACTCTAAGATGCATCTCTATTCCAGATAAGTGAAACTGACACCTCAGAATGAAAGAAATGTATGTATACTAGCAGGTAGGCCTGGAGTTGCTCTGGCAAAAGTAATGATAGCAAAGATTAAGATTATTACATTATAGTCAACCTTACCCGTTTTCACAGAATGGGAAAATTGGGTCCCCCTGTTTCCGGACTAATTAGAGAATTTTTAGATGGGTCTAAAAATATGTTAGATTTTCCGAAAAAAACTGCATCTATTTAATTAAGAATGGTCAACTTTTAAAATCTGAATTACCAGTAACTGATTTAATTACTTAATTAATTTAGTTAATTAAACCTAAAGTAAATATGACTATAGTAAATTCAATCCTTTGTTTTGTAATATTTGAAATACAAAATGTATGATATACACCTTGATTATTGTGTATATATTATTTAAAATTTTTATAAACATTTAAAGTTAATCAAAAATTTCATAAAGACATCACAGTGAAATCCCATCATCACAAGTAATTTGGTTATAAATTTTGTACTTTTAGATTGGAAATAGCTAAAGTAGTCATGGTAATCAGAAATTTACCTTTAAAAAATATTTTTCATAACAATCATTAAATAAATCAACAACATAATTTTAATTTTTTTCACAGAACTAAGTTTTTCACGGTGATTCTCAAAGAATTAACAATTAAGAATGCCCTTGATGGCTGTTGTCAAATACTCTTGACAATGAAATTATTAGCTAACTATCAAGCAAGACAAAGTCAGTAAATCAAATTATGAAAATTTAAATCAAAAGACA